GGAATCGATGCCGCAATGTTCAACATCGCGGAATAGGATGTATTCTCGCATCTACATGCTGTATGGCAACATAAGAATGATGTCAATGTATTTCTCACATCTTATGAAGAAATGAAACATGACTTACCTACAGTCATCTGTCGACTTGCTCAATTCTTAAACATTGAACTAAATACTAATTTGCTCAACCGCGTTATGCTCTATTCGTCGTTCAGTTATATGAAACATCGTTACGACAAAGCATATTCAGCTCAAGCACGTATTGCACTTGCCAATATATCGCCAACTACATCTTGTCCTGGGAACAAGAGCTACTTACAGATGGTTGACAGGCTTCCAAAAGTGCGAAATGGTGTCGTGGGAAGCTGGTCATCAATAATGAGCGAAGAGCAATCACAACGTCTTGATAAGATCTTCGCAGAAAAGACAGCAAACATGTCTGGACTCGAAAAAGTCTTCCTATCAGTATAATGAAACACAAAAAAATCTTTGTTTTTCAATTGTATCTGTTTATTGTGCTGCTCATAAGCGCTCACAATAGTAGAATACAAATTTGAAGACACGCACAATTATTTTAAATCATGAGTACATAATACAGTACGCTGGAGTGAAAATAGATCATGATGTTTCACTTCGAAGAATACCTATAGAGAAAGGACGAAGACCAAATAAGAATAAGGAGAGACAACGAAAGCGAGGAGAAAAGATAGAAACTACATACAGCGTGAGCAGAGCAGTTGTTCACTGTGTTTAGCAGTATTGACTGTACAGGGGTGCACTTAGTCTTGACTCCCAGAGTGGAGGTTATTCTTTCGGTATTTTTCTAATGAAATATTTCCAAATATTGGCTATCGAAAATTCCATCTACTATGAGAATTTCCAGAAATAGGATGTGTTTAAACCTCTCCAACCCGGTACTTTTTCAAGTCCCTGTGACTATGGTACAGAGAGCGAGAGAGTTCCTGAACTAAAGTGCCATAGTTTCTTTGTTAATGAATAGAAAATTATCGATGAGTAAAGCATGACAATCACTATTTGAATTTTATAATGTTCAACATAGATTTTTTACAGTTTAACCATTTTTCTTGTCAAGTCATATATATAAAGAACAAAATTGACAATGCATTGGATATCTTCCTATTTCTGACAGCCACCAAATAATGTTGTCCGACAAATGATGGAAATCTTGGTCATTATAAAATGCAACATTTCATAAATGTTCGAGTCGTTCCAAAATTAATGTTGTATCCTTGAGATGTATGACCGAAATTATTAGATTCTTAATACGTCGAATCACTTTGAGTGTTCGTTCGAGGAGAATTTTCATTTTATTTATTGTGTCTGTGAACCAAGTATGATCTTTATTCATGCTCAATATCAGTTGAGTAAGTTTGAACAGATCGACCCATTTCAACATTTTTTCGATTAAATTATTCGATCAATTGAGATCGATCTTGATTGAAACTTCGGTTACATTTCGAAATAAAGAACGATTGAGTGGTAAAGGCTATCAACAAAAAAAAAATCCTTGGTATTATCGAATGACTTTTGAACAACGACTAATAGACTCAATCAAGTGTGGAAAAATTCTATGCAAAGATGATTATTCGATATTTTGTGGCAATCACTAACACTCGCGTTAAGAATTATATCATAGCCAAAGTATTTGAAATTCCTCTAGCTGGCTCATCATTTCTATTGAATTCTGAGCTTATTCAAATACTTGCTCGTTTTCGTTGAATCGAAAATGTTCACTACACTGCATATAATAGAACTAATATGGGAAAAAAGATTTTTTCAGATGTATTGCACGAGAAAAATTTTAAGAAATATGAATGAATTCAATAGACTGGACCTCAGACTACACTTCAATTTCATACGATGAAGTATCGAGCTTTATTTTTATACAGTTTGGCAGCGAATATATATCGTCACGGATGATCTTTCTCTTAAAATGTCTTTGTCGATATTCTTTCTTTGTGACAAATAATTGTATTTCGTTACAGTAGAGAAAAGTAGACATGCAAAGATGAAAGCTAAAAGTATTCCTAATCGTTTCTTTTACTCTATAGTGATACGTATATCTTTCTGATAAACTTAATTGAATGCAGATAACTTCTATTTTGCATAGAAATACGAGTGTATCATCATTAATTCATTCGTCATTTTTCTTTTACAAAAGAGCTGTGTTGATTAAAATATCGGCAGTATTTTCAGCTCTGATCTTTAAAAGCGTAAGCTAATACTCAGCATAATTATATTAATGGCAATGATGTCACTTCTGCCTTAAATATTTTCATTTCTTTTTCTATTATGTAAACATTCCGAATGTTACATTCATTAGCATAATAAAAAAAAAGTCACGTGAGGTAATAGAGAAAAAATCTATTACATACAATTCATTGTACCGACTTTCTGAATGTCAATTTTTGACCGTTTTTAGGCATACAAAAATCGAATTTTTCATTTTTGTCTGTACCTTCTAAGGGACTCTATAGCAAGACTAACTATTAAATATAATTCCTATTGTCGAATTATTTACTGTTATAAAGTGAGAATGAGACAATCCAATTGAGCTGGTTTCTGTAGAAATCGTGACCTCTCTTTTACAAAAAAAAATATTCATTATTAACGTAGGATATAGTATATTCCTAACTTAACTTCTGCTACTGTTGTTCTCTCTTCTTTCTATTCTGTGCCTGTGTATCTTGTACTGTGAATGACGTTTGTTTTAAGTCCATTGGTTATTGTATGATTGCTGCAGTAATGTTTTATTTTTCTTTTTGTCCATTCTGTATCATCAAATAGGACGCCTTATTATTTAGTGTTTGTTTCTAAATTATATGAGAAATACATAGTCTTTTCCGCCATATATACGACAGAACGCAAAATAATATAAAACACATATTACCAAGTATTAATCTGAATTGATAATACGTTTGTACTACCACTACAAAAGGTAAATTTCTCATTAAGTCTACAATATGAACTATGCGAACATTCGTTTCCTTCGCGATTTATTATAATTTGAAGGTATTCGATACGTCTGCAAATTAATGTTAACTATCAATTAATAGGAAAATATTTACTCCTTTTTCGTTGGTTCTGTTTCTCTGCAATGTAATTATAGGACAGTATTTTTTTGTGCAAGGAATATATCTAACAAACAAGTGATGCTCTGAAAATTTGAGGATGATATAATGCAGTTGTTTTCTTATAGAAAAGATATTGATTGATGGATAGTCTTCGTTTGCGTGGTATTATAGTGAAACTGCAAGATCGTCTTAGTAATGATGATCGAAAACGTTTACATTTCTATCTTGGCAATGATGTACCACGACGAATTCGAGATGATGCATCACTTTCTGGAACTCTTAGTCTTATGGATTCTCTTTTCGATCAAGATAAAATTAATGAAAAAGATTTTACTTTTTTAATAAATGCATTTAATGAAATTCAATGTATTGATGCGGTGAAATTATTGAGAGGTAATATTTTTTCTTTTTTTTTTTTTATCAATTTATTATTGTATTTTGTCAATCTAGAACATTTAAGACAAATTCAATCTAATGGACTAAATTAATCAATTGAGAGTTTATCAATGATAATGCCACCTATGATAAATCAACTTCTTCAAGATCAAGATGAAGATAAATATGCTGTAAACCATTGTAAATGATTAACTATATTTATATTTTAAAATAGTCTAAAGTATAATTTAGTTCTTGTTAATCAAGAAAATACTTGTGATACTAACAATATAATGATCAATAGTGATAATACAAATATTAATCAAATGCCAATGATTATCTGTGATAAGAAAGCATGGCATTCAGAACATAAAAGAAATCAAATATCAAACTCAATAACACTGTATTGGAAATATTTATTAATATTCATTCTATTATCAATCATTGGATATGGAATATTATTTTTTTTGTCTGTTAAGAATATCATTGATATTAGTCAATTGAAAGTATCGAATAAAAAATCTATTGAAAAAATTCAACAATTAGAAATATCGAATAATCAATCTATTGAAATAATTCAACAATTGATACATCAAATGAAACATTTTATAAAAAAGGGTAATTATTATTGTTGCTGCTGTATCTAAAAATAAATCCGATTTTAATGCATATGATCTT